GGTAACCCCCCCCCGCCTCCTCCTCCACATCCCAGCAGGTCGCTCGAGTTGCCCACAGGATTTAGCAGGGATGAAATTCTTCCAGCCTGGAACTGCAATCCCCAGCACAGTTACACACAAAGGAATAGCCGGTCCGTGATTTAATTCACATTCGATGGTGGAGATGAGCCTGCCACGCACACTGGAAGCTTTATTCCCAGTCTTCCCACTCTTCATCTTCCAGCTGCAAACAGGAGAAATAGGCCGTAAGTTTTTTTCCCTTAACTTACCAGCCATCTGTCAGAGATCCTCCTGCTCGGGGCATCCGAGTGGGTGCAAAGCCTGACACACATCCGTGCCCTCACGACAGGGATTTGCAAGATCCCAGGCTAAATTTGGCTGCCTCCAAAAGGACCCAGGCCTTTAAACTCACTGCAGGAGAGGGGATGCTGCAGCAGCTGGTACTGGCTGCAGTGCTGCCCCTCCAGGCCAGCAGACACTGGGGGGATTCAGCACCAGGGATTCAGCACCAGGGATTTGCTTTCTCTCTCCCCAGCCTGGCTCGAAGGCCAGGGAAGCCCTCGGCAACACGGAGCCCTCGCTGTCCCCCTGGGAGCTGCTGAAATGCTGGTGCTTTCCAGGAGGGACTGGCACCCCCAGGACTCACCTCCCCGGACACCTCCACCCTGGAGAGCGCCAGCTGCACCTCCTCTTCGGTCATATCCAGATCAAAGTCCTTTTCCCAGTCCTCGCTGATATCCGTGCTGGAGCCTGTAACCACAAACAGCAGGATTGAGCCAGGCAGGGTGTATAAAGCCCACATATTCCCACGGCTTGGACCTTGGGAAGGCTTGGACACGGCCTGGCCAAGGACAGACAGTCTATCCGGGTCCCAGGAACACGCTGCCAGCTTGAGAGCAGATGGGACTGAGCTGGACTTCTGTCACGGCCAGGACAGTGTCACTCGGTACAGAAGAAGGGGGCAGGTTCCCCTCTGGCTGTGTCAGGCTTCACACAAAAAAATACAGCAGGTCAGGAATGACAGGAATGACCTAGGTATGAGAACTGAAATACATCCCAACAGAAATCACAGCCTCACAGGGAGGCTCCAAGCAGTGACATGGAGAGGGCAGAAGCCACTTTTCCATACACAGACAGCCTGGAACTCTAGTTTCCAGCAAGCCAGGCATTAATGGCACTGCTTACTCAGTTCACAAGGAGACTTTTCATTTCTCCCTTATCTAATCCAATTCTGCTCAAGAAAACAGATCCAGGGCACGATATTGAGCCACGTTTCCCCGAGCCTGGCTTTTTTCCAGCTGCTTTACAATCCTACAATTAGCAAAACCATTGCACTGGAAGACCCGCAGCTGGCCCCACTGATGGCAGCATCCCCTGCAACACAAGGGTTGTAAACAGCAGCAGGCAGAGCAGCAGCTCTGCCCCCTTCTCAGGGCCAGGAAACACCCTGGCAGAGTTTTACCCTCCACTTCCCAAGGAATGGGGCTCCCGAGAGCAAGACAGTGCTCAGGGCAGAGCCAGCACCAGGCACCTGCTCCCAGCAGGCACTGCCAGTCTGCAACGACCAACCCAACCGCACAAGGAGCCGTCCCCGCTTCAGTTCAGCTCTTAGTTTGGGATCCAGCTCTCTCTGGTGACAGGATCCTGTTTCCTTTCTGGTTCTAGCCCCTTTCCCGAGGGCTCCCACCCGCAGCGGCGGGTTCCCAGGCGCGGGGCAGCCCCCCTCGTACGCACCCTTCTTGCCGTTGTTGGAGGGCGTGGATTTCCCGCTGTCCGAGTTGAGCTCGAAGACTCGCAAATCCGTCGGCCCTTCCTCTTTCAGAGTCTCTGTCCTGGCCGGGGCTTTGGCCTCCGCCTCCCTGAGCTCCGTGGCGGCCGCGGGGCCGGGCTCCTCGGGGGTGGCCTCCTGCAGCCTCCGTGACAGCTCCTGGGCCCCAGTCTGTAGCTGCGCGGCGGCGGGCACGGGGTTGGCAACCTGAGTCACGAGGGAGACGCTCTCGCTGCTCTCGGAGGGGCTCCCCTCCGCGGGGGCCGCGGCGGGGCGCGGGGCAGCCCCGCTCTCCTGCGAGGGTCCCTGCGGGGCGGCGCTTCCCGCGGGGGCTGATTCCTTCTCTGCTGCTTCTGGAAATTTCACATTTGCACAAGGCAGGGGGGACATTCCCAAGAACTCCTCTGTGGGAAGGAGGAAGAGAAGCCACAGGTGTTTCAGCAAGCGTGTCACAAGGTGGGAGCGGTAACAGCACCAGAGCCGGGCTTGATACTTCAGGTCTCATCTCACCAGGCTGCAGCAGCCCCTTCTGCCCAGCCCTCCGGGGAGGCCTCCCGCATCCTCCCACCTTCCTTCCCCTCCAGCTCCCTCCGCAGGGGCCTGGCAGGGATCATTCCCCCCGACGCAGCGCTGGGCACTGCAGTGTTGAGGCCCTGCTGCTGTGCAGGGCAGGCACAGCCAGAGCGGTGCCAGGAGAACCGGCCTCCTCCGTGCTCCAGCCAAGCAAGGAGCAGCTGGCAGCAGCCACCAGCAGCTGTGACAGCCCAAGCACCAGTGCAGCAGCAGCTGCCAAGGAGGCAGGAACAGTCGTGGCCTGGCTTGGAGCCAGATCTGCAGGAGCGAGAGCCACGGCCCCGAGCTCAGACCTGCTGATCTCCCCACGGATCCCCTGCCACGCGACCCACCTTCATCCTCCTCCCAGCCGGGCTCCTCTCGGTGCATGCTCTGCTCCACTCGCTGCTTCAGCGCTTCCCTCCGCACCTCATCCTGCAGGGAAGCGGGACTCAGCGTCTCACCCACAGTGCCTTTCCCCAAGGCAGTCCCACATCGGCAGCAGAGACATGGAATGGACAGCCCAGAGCCCTGCTTCCCGGGAAGGCACCATCCTCCCTCCCCTGGCTCTGCATTAGGGAGCTCCTCAGCCCACGAGCACCCTCCTCCCGAGCTACCTGCTCCAGGCGATGCACTTTATAGAAGTAGCGCTGCCAGAATTCAGAATGAGACACGGCCACGGGGACCTGGGAACAGCACAGAAAATGCACTGAGTCACTTAGAAGGGACGGCTGTGATTGCCACCTCCTGAGCCTTGTAGTTACCCTATAACCTACACAGGTCACCTGTGGGTTTGGGACTGAGCATCAGGTGCACATCCAGAGGGGCTCAGACACCAGAGAGCCACAGGGGAACATCTGCTCCGGGTTTGCAGGCAGCAAGGGAGGAAAAAAACCCGATATGCAGCTTCATATCAATGTGTCTGCTTACTGCACAGGCACAGTCCTCTTGCCAACAGCCCCAGGGTCCAGCAGCTCAGGGCTCCCCTGTGCCAGGAGCACAACCCACCCCCGGGCAGTCCCCATGTGCCACTCCAGGTGCCCTCACCATCTTGCTGTAGAGCGCGCGGATGGAAGGGCTGCTCGCCAGCAGCTCCGAGATCTCCCCTTTCTTCTCCTCTAGCTTAAATTGAGAGAGCCAGGCCTCAAGGAGCTCCGCGGGGCCTGCAAAGGACAAGCACAGAGATAGCAGCACAAATAAGGCAGGGTAAGCTTCAGCTTCAGTAAGTTTTGTGGGAAAGACGTTACAGTCCCTGGGGAGTGAGCAAGGAGCAGGCAAGGCAAGAGAGCAGCAGGATGTGCAGCCCGAGATGAGCACACCACTTCCCACACTGCGCCCGGCAGCTGGGATGCGATTCCCAAGCTGGATAGAGTCACTGCAGAGCAGGGAACATCACAGGCTCACAACTAAAATCCACGAGCAGATGAAGTCCTCAAGGTCCCCACACAGATCTGCTCTCTCACACTGGTGACTCAAGCCAAGCCAGCAGGACGGGGGCTGCCAAGCCCCAGGCATCTTGGGGACACCCAGGGACACCCGCACAGACAGCGCCCGCCCCGCACGCACCGTCGGGTTCGTTGCAGTAGGTGGCTGGGTCGGACTGAAGGCTGTAGAGACGGGCCTGGAGCAGAAGAGGGGAGGGAAGCGCTGTCAGCGGAGCCCCAAGGGAGAGGGCTCCGCACCCAGCGGGACGCGCCGAGCAGGGACACCCACCTTGGCACTGTCGTAGGGCTCCGTGGTACCTGCTGGCGTTGCCATCAGCGTGATGACATCGCAGTCAATGGTCTTGTCTGGAGAAGGAGCAAACGTGTCCGAGATGACGCCCAGGAAGTCAGAGAGCCCTTTCCTCACCTTTTCTGTTGCACCCGAAGGAACCTCTGTCCTCTTGAAGAGGAAAAAAAAACATGGCATTAAGTAACAGCACCTGAAGCGACAGGACAATTCTCAGGGTCTGTTTTGACTTGGTTCCTTTACAAAAAGATTATTTTTTTATTCTTCAGAGAGATGCTAGTGAGGCAACTGTACAGGCAAGGCGGGGGTATGGGAAGGGTGTGATAACGGGGCTGGTCTCAGGAGGTGACAATAAACTGGCATTAAGGGAACCAAGCCCAGGCTGGGACATGGGAAAGAGACAGCATGTGGCACAGAGGGAAGGAAAACACAAGAACCCTTCTCCATTCGTCTCCAAGGAGTCTTTCCCACAACGCAGCAAGGAAGTGAGGGAGACAGAGCCCTGGCACAGGATGCCCAGAGAGGCTGTGGAGTCTCCTGCTCTGGAGATCTTCCAAACCCGCCTGGATGTCGCCCTGTGCCCCTGCTCTGGGTGTCCCTGCTGGAGCAGGGCTTGGACTGGGTGATCCCTGGAGGGCCCTGCCAACCTCAACCACTCTGTGATCCTGGAAAATCACACGGGTCTTGGCGCTGAATTTGCACCCTGGGAGGGGACAGCACCATGTCATGCTGTGATATGAGGTCCCTGCTAAGCTCAACCACTCTGTGATCCTGGGAAATCACACGGGTCTTGGCGCTGAATTTGCACGGGGAAGAAAACCTGCAGGCTGCAGGGCAAGTTTATAAATTCACAACCTGTTTAGAAAGAATTGTGTCCTTCAAAGCAGGAGCAACCTGCTCGCTACAGGCACATCCCACCCCTGCCCGGGTGTATCCGCAAGGAGCCCCGCTCACCGCCAGCCTGTCCTTGACCACGCTGGCCGTGGCCGCGATGGTGCAGGCCGTGTCGTGCTGCACCACCTGCGTGAACTCCGCCAGGTCCCGCTTCATGAACTCCAGAGCCTCCGTGGACTGCGGAGAGACGGGCAGAACGGGACAGCCTGAGGATCCGGCGGAGCCGCTGCCGCGCCGGGAGCGCCCGGGACGCTGCCGGGCCCGCGGGAGGATCCCGAGGGTCTTTTCCCCCCACGAGGATTCCGGGATTTGGCACAAGGATTCCAGGATTTGTGCTCGTACCCCGCACACCCGTATAGCAACGACTGCAATAACGAGAGGCAGCGAGTGCCGAGCGCGCGGGGATCGTTTACGCTAAGAACGGGGGAAAAAACAGGC